ATTATTTTATAATTAAACGATAGCAAAATTTTAAATAACACGATTTTAAACGTTTCCTTTTTTAACCGCAAAAATATAATTTTTTTTAAAGGAAATTTTTTTTTGACGCCATTAAAATGAAAGTTGTTGGAATTTTACAAAAAATATTTTTAAAAATCGTTTTTCGTAATTATCATCATCATTATCATCATCATCATCATCATTATCATCATCATTATCATCATCATTATTATTATTATTATTACTATTATTATTATTAGTATTATTAAATTTCGAATAACGAATAACGTTTTCCTGTGATTTCCCACGTAAAAAAAAAAAAAAAAACAAATTATTTCGTTTTTAAAACGTTTGAAATTTGTTTTTTTTTTTTTGCTAAAAATATTTATTATTATTATTATTATTTATTTTTTGCGGTCGGTAATACAAAAAATATTTTCCTAAATTTTGCTACTCTTAATAATAATTTTAAAAAAAATTAGGAGGCAGCGTTAGGTAAGGATGAATGACATTACGCGCGTACATTCTACAAAAATTTTATTTTCGAACGAAACAAACTAATAATAATAATAATAAATTTGTGTGATTTTAAATTTAGGGAAAAAAAAATTCAATGGTAATTTTATTTCTTTTTTGTTTTCCTTTTTCTTCTTTCCTTTTTTTTTTTTATTTAAATATCCCGCATTTAAAATTTTTTTTGGGGGATTTTAATGATTTTATCCTTTGGGGAATTTTGAAAAAAAAAAAAAATTTATTTTTGTGTGTGTGTTTTTGCAAAATCGTGACTTTAAAAAAAAAAAAAAATTTGTAATTTTGTTCAACCCATACACACACACGCACACGCACAAGCACGCACACACACGCACACGCACAAGCACGCACACACACGCACACGCACAAGCACGCACACACACACACACACGCACGCACTTTTACAAAACTCGTTGTGAAATTTTAAAAAATTTATTTATTGATTTTGATCATCATCATGATTTTTTAAATTAAAAATCAATAAATTTACACAATTTCCTCCCTCCCCTTCCCCCAAAATCGAATCGAATTGTTTAAAAACAAAAGTCATTCTGCTATAATAATAATAATAATAATAATTTTTTCTTTTTGCGATTGTGTCAGTCAGTCAGGTTCGTTTTTTCAATGATACCTTTTTTTTTTTTTTTTTTTTTTTAT